GCTGTATCTTAATTTCTATGCTTTTTTATTATGTAAATCTTAGAAGATAAGCATTTTAAGATAAAACAAATCACTAAGTTGATTAATTATATATAATTTGAGATTGACCAAGTCAATTTTAACTAGTAACTTCTTATTTTATTTGCAGAAGCAGTAGAAGTATTCAAACACCATCATGAAACACTTAAGACATACCCAGAGAGCTCTAGATGAAGTACTAGTGGTAGATTGGAACAGATTGTAGCTTAATTGTTAAACTAAAAGGACTTCTTAAATCGTTTGAATTTAAGCAACACTTGAACTGTAGTTTTGAAATAAAATAGCTGAAGTATTTAACCTTTTCCCTTATATAAGCGTGTTTCGACGGCTTCCCCCCCCCCCCTTTTTGAGGCCTCAAACAGTGACAAAATGCCCTATTTAGGCCCCAAACACTGTTTTCCGTTTGAGAAATGTTGTTAAAAAAGTGACCACTTTTTCGGCGCCGTCCCCCATCCAAATATATCATCAGGGGGTTGCCAGAAGGGGGATGTGCCCCCTTCTGTTTGGGGGTTTGAAGAGGGGCGGACTCACCCTTATCGCCAAGAAAATTTTGGACATGTGACAGGCTAAAAATGGCCTCAGGTCAATCTTAGGGTAACTAGTAACCGACGCTGAAAAGCCTTTTACTCTATCTGAATTCATTGAGAAGTTGTCGCACTTTGAAATCAGTTTTGATGGGGAAAAAAAACAATGCAAAATAGTGATTTTTGGCAATTTTGAGACGTCCCCCCGTTGCCATGGTAACAGGAAATTTACCATTGAGCATGCTGTTACAGAGGCTATGGTGTAGTCAACATTTGTGCCAAGTTTCATTAGTATTGAAGCATTTTTCATAGTTTCATAGCAGTTTGAACTTGTTACAGGAGGCTTTTCAATGAAAACGGCCAATTTTTGCAATATGCTCATGGGGTAAAAGGCTAATAGTGTCTTGATTTTTTCTGTTACAGTACTTTGCTTTATATTAGAATTAAAGTATGTTGAAATGACATTGAAACTTCAACGTTGTGCCAACTTTCAAATTCGAACATAAATCTAACGTTATTTCAACGTTGAAATCTGACCATACTTCAACGTTGTTCACCGTTGATGTGCCTGCTGGGTTACTTCTATCAAGGACCTATTGGCGGTTTTTTTTTAATATTATTCAAAATTCTATGAAAGTTTGATGCTAAATGCATCAATAATGATTTTTTTCAATCAATATCTAGGCTATAATCGGCATAGATATTGCCTGCACATAAAATATTGCGTTGGAGTTATCAACAATAAAAGTATGCGTGGGAGTTACCCAAATCATTTTTCTCTCGTGTAATGGAATAGAAAATGACCTGTCAACATTTAACATGCCTAATATTTACATTTTCAAATAAAGAAATTCTATGAAACATTTTCTCTTTGCTAACTCGACGTAGTTTAATCAAATTCATAAAAAATACAAATTTTGCGTGAATGTTACCCGAAATATAATTGTTCACATTGAAAATTTCTGTTGAATTTTTGAGTGTTTGTAAAAGCTATGAGCACAGGGGTGGAAAATAAAATATAGGCGGCAACAATTCTTTATTCTGCGTAGGCTGCAACATGTCTCGTATGTAAGTATAAGGGATATAATAAAGAATTATCTGAAAAAATACATGTGAAGCGAGGTTTTTAGGCCGCCATATTTGTCTGTACGCGTAACCGTAAAAGTCACGTGATTCCTACCGTGTATTAGAAGGCCGTTTAAAAACTTAGGGGGAGATAGAGGATTATAAACATTTACTTATACAATTCACCGAGTCCCAATCGTTCACTATGTTTCCCAGGCGGAGAACGCATGAAGAGATTCAATTTTACAGGTGGAAACCGATACTGTGGTAAGAAAATTGTCTTCAAATTTCTTTGTAAATGCATATTTCACAAAACTTCATAGCCTATTCTGATCTCGTATGATTACTTTATCCGACAGGCATCTCGAAAACTCGCCAAATCTTTGTTAACTTATTAGATCATTATCGACAACTGCACAAGAAAAATCACAAAATTGGTAAAATCGCTCTTTGATAGCCAATAACTTGACATCCAAGCAAACTTCTAAACATTTGTTATCGCTCTAAAGGTTCTTTATTAACATATCCTCATCTACAAACGCCTGTTCTATTTCTATTTCGTATTTTTGGAGTATAATAATCGTTTAAGCGAATTTTAAAAAATGAACGCATGAGCCGAACTTTTCGTGTGGTATCATCAGACTGCAAAATGAACGCATGAGCAGGCGGATTTTTTGGTTACTCCAGTTTTCATGGATATCTCACATGTTATCGATCACTGAACCTTGAAATTCCAAAATTTTCGTTCCGAATGTTTGAGCAAACAGAATTCCTATTTTCATACCTTATGACGAATTGCTTATAAGATGAAGGTCTGTTCGGTTCTGTGAAAATATAATAAATCCTCATTGCTAAAACTTTGAGTAAAATATTTGCAAAATACAACATCATTGGTTGATGGTATGTTATAATTAAAGATGTAACATACACTTAAAGATCCTGTGACTCAAAATTTTATGTTCTTATATGAAAAATCTTTGGCTTAAATAAAGAATTAACAATGTTAAAAGTTACAGAAAACCTTTTTGATAAGGATATTGCCAAAATTTAAAATTTCCGACAATAAAAGGAGATAATTAGAAATCTGTTTTTTGGTAAAAAAATAAATCAGTTTTGCATTCAAATAAAAATTTCAAAACATTTTTCCTCCAGAAATATCATATAATGTGTTTAATAATGTCAACTTCTTAAGTATATGTTTTTCATAAGAACTGACTTTATATACAACTTTGGCAAGGATGTAACATCCTTAACCTTTTCCCTTATATAAGCGTATTTCGACGGCTTTTTGCCCCCCCCCACACTTTTTGAGGGCTCAAACAGTGGAAAAATGTCCTATTTAGGCCCCAAATACTGGTTTTCGTTTGAGAAATGTTGTTAAAAAAGTGACCACTTTTTCGGCGCCGCCCCCCATCCAAATGTTACATCAGGGGGTTGCCTGAGTGGGTTTGAAGGGGGGCGGAGTCCCCCTCATCGCCAAGAAAATTTTGGACATGTGACAGGCTAAAAATGGCCTGAGGTCGATCTTAGGGTAACAAGTAACAGACACTGAAAAGCCTTTTACTCTATCTCAATTCATTGAGAAGTTGCAGCACTTTAAAATCAGTTTTGATGGGAAAAAAACAATGCAAAATAGTGATTTTTGGCAATTTTGAGACGTCCGCCCGTTGCCATGGTAACAGGAATTTAACGATTGAGCATGCTGTTACAGAGGCTATGGTGTAGTCAACATTTGTGCCGAGTTTCATCGGTATTGAAGGAAGCATTTTTCATAGTTTCATAGCAGTTTGAACTAGTTACAGGAGGCTTTTCAATGAAAACGGCCATTTTTCGCAATATGCTCATGGGGTAAAAACATACAGGATCTGTAAGCAAGAATATATATATCAACTTCCTTACAACAAAATGAACATACAAGAAAATGTTGAAATAACACATAATTTTTTAGGTTCATATTAAGTTTTTCTTTTAGAAATGATACACTTTTTATTTTAATGAAGAATAGGCAAAGTATTTATCAAAATGTGTTTCAAATTACCTCCCTTTATTTACAGAACTTTAAATTCGAAAATATCAATGTAAGATTTGTAATATTGGTAATAATTTATTTGAGTATCATGTTTATCATATTAGACTATTTAAGTTTTGAGGTACAGGGACTTTAAAAGAGTATACATACGCTAGCTATTATTTGTCATTTGTCCTTTGTTGTATTTGTTGTTAAATATTATGCGTGTATGATAGTAATTGTATACAATTATTCAGGATTCATGATTTAATTATCAAAGTACATATTTTGTAAAACAATCATTTACAATGCGTGCAAATATCAAGGACTTTTCCAAAGTGTCATGTAAGATTATTATATAAATCAGCTTAATGTCGTCAGTTGTTGATTTTATTCAACATGACAAGACTTAGTTATCTCTCCGTTTTATGTATTAAACAATATTCATTTGTTTAAGTTATTCAATAAGAGGTTGTTTATTAAAGCTGATAATATGTCTTACAAACGAGGAATTACTTCAATTTCACACGATCTTTCCCAACAGACCTCGTACTTTTGCTTATTAGCATATATACATACAGCGTACAAAGTATATTTTAATTTGTAAAAAAAAAGTGTCTCTCACTTATTTGAAATAAAATTTGAAATTTTTGAAGTTTGAATATGTTAAATTTGTTAGATAATTAGGAAAAACTTGGGTTTTTAAAAATACCACCTGCTCATGCGTTCATTTTGCAAACCTATGAAACCACATGAAAAGTTCGGCTCATGCGTTCATTTTGAAAATTCGCTTAAACGATATTATACTCCAAAAATACGAAATAGAAATAGAACAGGCGTTTGGTGGATGAGGATATGTTAATAAAGAACCTTTAGAGCGATACAAATGTTTTGAAGTTTGCTTGGATGTCAAGTTATTGGCTATCAAAGAGCGATTTTACCAATTTTGTGACTTTTCTTGTGCAGTTGTCGATAATGATCTAATAAGTTAACAAAGATTTGGCGAGTTTGAGATGCCTGTCGGATAAAGTAATCATACGAGATCAGACTAGGCTATAAAGTTTTGTGAAATATGCATTTTCAAAGAAATTGAAGACAACTTTCTTACCACAGTATCGGTTTTCCACCTGTAAAATTTATCTCTTCATGCGTTCTCCGCCTGGGAAACATAGTGAACGATTGGACTCGGTGCAATTATTCAATTAACATTAGCTTAGTCATTTATCTTTAATATGTTTTATGTTCATTTCAGATTGACCGTGGTCATTGTTCATCATAATAAAGACATATGAATAAATGGACCTTGTTCTTATTTATCAAAATAAATATTTAGTTGTATAAGACCTTAAGTATTTCACACGATTAAAAAATTCTCACGATAAAACTCCCGCGAAAAAGTTTGCGGCAATTGTCAGCTGTGCAGCAGCCCAGTGATTAATCTAGATGTGCGTCTTGCGTAAAATACGCATAAAAATAGAAAAAGACGCACAGTTTCAAAATATGTGCGTTCAATTTGACGCATGCAAATCAGGTGGTTTATAATCGAAAATATCACGATTAGTGATTTCTATGTACTGTTTTAATCAGTTGAATAATTTTTCAATTTCTTCAGTTGAATAATTTAATTTCCGATGATTACTTGTGCAAGACTAATCCCCCATTTGCTTGAAACGTTAAATCCCTGTGATCGGTAACCGCCCATTATCGGCATTAGCCAATCAGAGCGCCCATTTTGCATGAGAGCGAATCGCCTACAATGGTGAAATATGCAGAGATCTGCCTGTGCCATTGGCGCTAAAAAATGAGAATGGCACAGGAAAATCGTCAGCAAAGGGCCAAGGGTGCATCTAAAATCTGTGCCAGACTTATATTGTATGTTATTTCGTCATCCAGACAAAACTGGTACCAACAGCAACAGGTTACCCATTCCCATGTAATTCCGCATATTCTGAGTTTATCCATTTCCCTATAGCATTTTTCCAAGTTATCTACTTACCTTATCCCTTTCCCACACAGATAAGCATTTCTACTACCGTAAATTTAATCCAATAAACAAACAAAAAATCATTAATCTACTTAATATTTTAAATAAATATCGGTAACTGAAAAAAAAAAGTGTGTTGCTATTTTAAGAAATGCTGTAAGTTACAGTATAATCTGACAGGTGTGTAAATTGAATTCCCCTAAGGTCACTCAAGTTCATGCAGAGTGTAAAAATAAGAGATGTCTATTACGTCATCAGAATATTTGACAGGGTGATTAACCAATCAGGGAAACATTGTGCATGACTTTTTTTCATGATCAAAAGGTCTGTCTGTGTATGCTTTCTACACAGAGGCATACAAGGAGCAATAAAAGTCGTCAGTATGTATACAGTGTGATAGGGACATTTTGTGCAAATTACGAACAATTAAAATGGATAATGCACAGTATTAGACATAAGTAGTAAGAAAATATAAATTATGCAAATTAGATCTTTGAGCAGCCAATAAAAATTGTTTTGCCTGCAATTAATATTAGTACCCAAAAAAACACTTTTTTATACACTTTAATTACTGAATCGCTTGTTATAAAAACATGCAAATCATGTCAAGGATCATTCTGCTATTAAAAAAAAAAATATTGCTAAGACGCATTTATTTTGCTACATGACTCATTGATTTTGCTAAAGGACTCATTGTTTTCAAACATGTGCGTCATCCGACGCATTGTAAGGAATTTCTAGATTAATCACTGCAGCCGGACGAGGAAGATTATCCAAATCGCCAATACGTTATCCATTGCATAGGTCTACTGTTTGTAAGTGAATGTTAACTGAATATATAAAATCTACGAAGTGATGTTGGCTATATTATTAAAATCTTTAGTGGTCGGGTAGCCTCGTGATTCGGCGTGAACGGCTCGACACATTTTGGTATTTTTACAGACTTTTTCCATATCTGAAAAACCGTTGGAAAAAAACCATCGCTCGTCCTAAATTATCTCGATGTCTCTGACAACTCTAATAAGTTGGACTAGCGACTGGTCGGGTACCATCAATCGGACACTTTCTTAAATATTTCATACAGCTTTCACAATTTTAGAAAATTTGACACAGAAAAGCAAGGATATTATTCAAGAGATAGCTAGTTTGTTTATATCTGATATTGTTGACACTTCTACATTTATTTGAGCCGTATTGAGGCCTCTATTGGGGGGGGGGGGGGGGGCATCAAAATTTCCTAAATTGCCCTCACAAGCATGCATGTGTTGGGACAGATATTTATAACTTCATAATCTAATCCAGATAATGGCTTTAGTTTTAATTCTAACCTAAAATACATTATTGCATATGTTACTATAATAAGTAATGAAAATGCGTTTCTTTTTTCTGAATATGACATGCGAAACCCGTATTTGAGAAAGTGTGCCAATAAGCCATATTGGCACACTTGCCAAGTGTGCCAAAATCCCATATTGAGGCTATTTCCGGTTATCACGCACCTGTTGTACAGTAACGGCAGAACGTCCGCGTGTATACACATAACGTAATTGACAACCGCATCGCAAAAAAATGGCCGTCAAAAGGACGTTGAAATCTTATGCGAATCGCTTGATGGATTAAGATAATATAATCGAACAATACGGACAGCCAATTAATAAATATATTAGAACAATTACGTACGTTATTACTTGATTTTATTCCAGTCTGAAAAACTGCTGCGGAACATATCATATGCAATAAACAGGTCATAACATGGGACAAGTGTGTCTTTAGTCCATATTGGCACACTTGGTTCAAATTTGCCCTCGGGGCTAAAGCCCTTGGGCAAATATGTCACCAAGTGTGCCAATATGGACAAAAGGCACACTTGCCCCATGTAATAATCTCTACATATTCCTGCAGCATATGCTGAAATTTTGATTATTCTATATTGTTTATTCTGAAGTTATTAAAGCTAGAGAAAGAGGTCAGGTATTGCACTTTTGACAGAATTTTCAATGTCAATATGTTTCTGTAATAGACAAAAAACTATTAGGCTAACATTTAAGAAGAATCAAATCAATTTAATTAATTAATTTTAGATGAAACTTTCATTAATTGTTGATATTAGAGCAGCTAATTTATCGCCAACCACTGGGTAAAGAAAATAATTAATTGGTGTTTTTCATTGGGCTGTCTGCGTTTGATGGTTGTCCAGTTTTGGTGGTTTCAAACTAGTAAAGCACCAGTGAATTTTGCACGGGAAACTGAAATTTAAAAATGAAAAAGAAAATCACTGCTTCTCTATGCAGGAATTTACATCACTTTAAATTTCCAATAAATGCAGGTTCTTAAATATAGTATAGGGGTCCAAGGACAAATTCAAGAAGTCCAAGGACAAATTCAATCAATATTTTGCTATCGCGTTTTAAAAAAAAAAGTAGACCAATTTTCATACCTATGTATGCAATCATAGCACAATCTTTTAATAATCGTTAACAGTGATTAATCTAGAAATTCCTTACAATGCGTCTGATGACGCACATGTTTGAAAACAATGAGTCCTGTAGCAAAATCAATGAGTCAAATGCGTCTTAGCAGAAATTTTTTTAATGGCAGATCCTTGACATGATTTGCATGTTTTTATAACAAAGGATTAAGTAATTAAATAAGTGAATAAAAAAGTTATTTTTGGTACTAATATTAGATCTAATTGCAGGCAAAACCATTTTTATTGGTTGCTCAAAAATCTAATTTGCATAATTTATATTTTCTTACTACTTATGTCTAATACTGTGGATTATCCATTTTAATAGTTCGTAATTTGCACAAAATGTCCCTGTCACACTATATAAATACTGACGACTTTTATTGCTCCTTGTATGCCCCTGTGTAGAAAGCATACACAAACAGACCTTTTGATCATGAAAAAAAGTCATGCACAATCATTTTCCCTGATTGGTTAATCATCCTGTCAAATATTCTGATGACGTAATAGACATCTTTTTTTTTTACACTGCCTGAACTTGAGTGACCTTAGGGGAAATCAAAACACACCTGTCAGATTTTACTGTAACTTCAGTCCAAGCGAAACATCGTCGGACCGTCGGTCATGTCCGGTAATTTTTTGAAAGGTCCGACAAATTTAGAAAGTTCTCCGGACCTACTGTCCAGTAATTTTTTTTAGCAGTAGAACTATAAAAAAAGAAACTCTTTTCACGTTTCTAGGCGCTCTGTCTCCAGTTTGCTTAGAAAGCAAAAACAATGTCGCCCTTATTAGGATAAACACGTGCAATAATTTTCCAATTGTCAAAATCTTCCACGCTCCGCCTATATCGTAACGGTCTGTTAAACCAATTTTCATTGGTCGGTATAATTGGAAAACCAATGAAACGCGGCGATACAACTGAGCGGATGTTGGAAGTCAACAGGTGACATCTCCGGAGTGTTGATAATTGCCGATCAAATACATGTACATGTATCAACAAACAACAATATTAACAGATGTCAATTAAGACCAATAAGGGACATACATAGCGCATAAATTTGCTTAGTGCATAAATTTGTCGGTAAGTCTAGTAATCATGTTGATATACATGTATGTTTGCTTTACAAAAACTTGTCGCCAAAAACTTCAGTCAAACATTTTGATTTTTACAATTTTTTTTGTCAAATGCTTCAATGGCGAATGAAAATGATTGGTAAATAAACTTCTGTAAACACTCGTAGTGGTGAATATCCGATGATTATTCTTTATAAGAATTTCTGTAAGAACAGTTGTAAATAATTTAAAAGAAGTTAAAATTTATTTGTGATGATGATCGTGATGCTCGAATATTAAATGTAACTTAAAGTATTTATTAGAGGACAATATTATTTATAATTCAGTGGAAAAAAACAACATCCATATGAACCTTATTAAGTTCATATTAACTACGACTCTGAACTGTCAAGAAATACTTTTTTTGGGGAAATATTGAAATTGATGAATTATATGATTTACTAAAAAGTGTTTTTACTTTTTTTTATTTCAGCACAAAGTCACCTGGCTGCAGTGACTAAATCAAAACAAGCTACATGAAACCTATGATAATGATGATAGAGAAGAAAAAACATAAGACTGCCTGCAAGCATTCAGTTCATTAATGATTTTACAACATTTGTAATTTTGCTGTTTATTGTTACAAAATAATATTTAATAAACTTTTACGAGCATGTATTGTTTTAGTCAACCTAATGTTTGGTCAATCTTGTCCTGTAAAATACCAGGTTTCACAGGACCTATTGTCCTGTAAGATAATTTCAAGTTTCACTGGGACTGTAACTTACAGCATTTCTTAAAATAGCAACACTTTTTTTTTGAGTAGATTTATGATTTTTTGTTTGCTGTATTGGATTAAAATTACGTTAGTAAAAATGGGGTGGTAGAAATGCGTATCTGTGTGGGAAAGGGATTAGGTAAGTAGTTAACTTGGAAAAAATGCTATACGTACAATGTAGATGGATAAACGTTATTACAGGGGAATGGGTAACCTGTTGGTACCAGTTTTGTCTGGATGACTAAATAACATACAATAAAAGTCTGGCACAAATTTAAGATGCACCCTTGGCCCTTTGCTGACGATTTTCCTGTGCCATTCTTATTTTTTTAGCGCCAGTGGCGCAGGCAGATCTCTGCCTTGACTTCATTTTATATTTCACCATTGTATTATGCAAAATGGACGCTCTGATTGGCTTATGCCGATAATGGGCGGTTACTTGGGATTTAACGTTTTAAGCAAATAGGGGATGAGTCTTGCACCTGTAATCATCGGAAATTAGATTATTCAACTGAAGAAATTGAAAAATTATTCAACTGATGAAATTAAAGTAATCAAACGCTACATAAAAATCACTAATTTGACGTGATATTTTGGATTTTGCATGCGTCAAATTGAACGCACATATTTTGAAACTCTGCGTCTTTTTCGATTTTTATGCGTATTTTACGCAAGACACACATCTAGATTAATCACTGCGTTAAAAGTACTTAAGGAATCTATCATTTTTGATAAATGAAAATGTCAAACTTAAAAAATTACCTTAAAATTGTTAGGTTGGCATGTTTTGTGCCATGAAGGAAATTTCCAATATAAACATCTACACTTCTGGGATTTTTATCTTTAAATGGTCTTGCTGAGACTAGAAAGTTATGGTTTCAAGCCTTATTTTATTCTAATTTATTTTAGTTTGATTATGTTGGAAGCTAGAATTTGTATAAGCTTATTGAAACACTCTGGTACTAAGCAATGAGTGTACAGCTTCTTGGTCATGGAAACAATGGCATGAATATTTGTGGTCTAAGACTTTAGAAACTGAAAAAGACAGGACCACTCAATTTCGCTCATAATGATTTATTTACCATGTTAGGAATAATGCATAATATTTTATCTTGTTGATGAGGGTTAAGTCAAGTTTGAAGGAAAGTAAAGATAAAACTTCAAAATTGCAAGAAAAGCCAAAAAACAACAACAAAAAATAGCTTTCAAGATCTATAGAAAGTACATGTGTTTAGAAGTCTCTTATGTTATACACTTGTGATTTTTTAATTATTTTCTCCATGCCATCTGACATTTTAGATTGTCCCTGAAAGAAATAGTGTACAGGAAAAAGAATGGGTCGTTGGGGGTGGTCGAAAAAAAGATCCTTTGGCAGATCTCGCTTCTCCAGATACCAGTATGATCCAGAAGAAGATTCTTTACTTAATGACATACTTGCAGAACGGCTCATGATGGACTTGATAGGTAATATAACTTTACATACACTGCCAGTGTCACTGGGCTTTTCCAGTATCACGGTCAAGGTATTAAATTTGATTGTGTCAGGTTTTTCAGTACAGTATTTATTATGTACATGATACATGAAAGCATTGTCAGCAAACCAACCAAAGAGTCAGAGTGTCTTCAGCGTTTTTTTTCTCTACTTTGGGAATGGTGCCGGTACCAGACTGATTGGGACAAAATGCGTTATTTTTACCTAAATTGGGAATTTTTCTTTATGCATTCTTTCAGCTACAAATAAGATTAGTCATTATGAATAAAGATAGCTAACAGCTACCACTGTCCAGGTAGAACTATTGAGTGGTAATTTATATGAATATGTTGGATTTAAATGATTTCAGAGAAATCAGTTGGCCTTGTGGGAATTTGAACAGCCATTTTGGGAATTTAAACATTGGAAATTGGGAAATTTAATGTCTATTTTCTATTGGGAACAGTACCGTTTTAGGGTAGTAGTTATATAAAGAAAAAAATCACTGGTCTTTAAAAAATGTATTGCAATGATATAAAAATGATAGCCACAAGTGGTCAGGGATTAGTTGTAGTATATAGCAAAAATAGGGGGTATTCACAGTTCACTTTTCTCATGTATGTTCATGTGCTGGTAGGTGGTGTGTTCATGTGCTGGTAGGTGATGTGCTTATGTGCTGGTAGGTGATGTGTTCATGTGCTGGTAGGTGATGTGTTCATGTGCTGGTAGGTGAATGCATCCTTATTGTGAAATCTTTATTACTATTATACTTGACTCTTGTTGGAACTATAAGTGTTGTTAGCCTTACCAGTATAAGCACAGGTCAGCATTTACATCCGCACAGTCTGACCAGGCTCTCTTTACTGTTGGCTGATCCACTTAAAGTTTGAACTTGATAACCCTAATATTGATATTGGACGGTCCTTAAAATAGAAACAAGTATTAAAAGTCCATTAAAGTTATTCAGGGGGTGAAGGGTTAAAGATTAGAACATTACATTTACATTTTAGATAGACACAATTTATATCCCAGCCAGCCACATGGTAGTCAGTCAGTGATGATTGATGAAGATGATGATGATGATTTGATGGGGCATGATGATTTAGACGATGAAATCTGTTTTGGACATTTACGGGGAAATATTGTTGGCATTCAATATTATTCTGGAACTGTGAGTTCTTAACTTACTTTGCAAATTTTCGTTGCATATGTAAAACAGTATTTATGTTAACCAAAAAATTCAAAACCTGTACTATTTCATAAGCAAAGAAAAAGTCTGTTTATTTGACTATTTCAGAAGCCTTCACATTATTCTTTGTATCAGTAAGTTTCCAAGACAACTGTTAGAAAATTATGTGTAGTTTTCAGTAAAATAATATTTTTAACTAAGAAATGTTGTTAATCTAAAAAAAAAATTTACCTCTATAAAGTAGCATTACCTTTATGAATGAATGTTTACTTTTATAGTGAATTTATTATAAATTTACCTAATTTAAAATTTTACTTTATAAGTATTATTTTATCTAAATGATTCCCCCCTGAATAACATAATTTTACCTTATTTTACTTAGATGATATAATTTCATTGCCTGAATAATATTGATTTTACCTGAAATGTATAATATCTTGAAAATGGAATTTTATTCATATGATGTAATTTTACGTTACGTCACTCACATTTTGGTTACAGGTCAACATGAAAGAAATGGTTGCATTAGAGAGGGAGCCCGAGAATCGCTATGATATCAATGCCATCAAGGTGAAAAATGTTGGCAATGTTCAAGTTGGCCATATCAAAAGGGAGCTAGCCAGACCACTGGCTTACATTATGGACAAAGGATTGGCAAGGCTTGAAGGGTACTTTTTTTTTTTCAAAGATATAGTTGAATTACGGAGAACTTCTAATACACCATAAGAAGTATCTTGTTTTGATATTGACCCAAGGTTTTGTGTTAAAGATTCATCTTGCTGCTGTCTATTAGAAGTATTTAAATGACAAATAAAAAATGATAAATAAAAACAAAAAAACGCAATTTTTCATTTGAAAAGAAGGAAAAAACACCCTACCAACTATTTCTATTAACAATGGAAGTAGATTCAAACATTTCTTAAGCTGGGATGATTTTGCTTTGTACATATAATAACGACAGAGTTAACTGATTTTTCAAAAAGTTTTCTACATTTAAAAAAATGTTATATTCTTGTAAAGTTGATATACTTATTCTTACTTTAATAGGGTTGTTCCTTTTGGTGCCACCAATATGTACTCTATGCCTGTAGACATAAGCTTGTGGGGCAAACCTGAGAACCAGAAAGAGGCTGTGGACAAGTTAAAGAAGTCTGGTTTCTATCTGACTGGTGGGACACAGCCGGTAACCAGCCCAGGAAGTGGTATGTCATCATCATCACTGGGAGCTTCTGAATTCTCCTTGGCGGCAATTGAGCCTAGAAGAACATATCTTACTCCTGCAGAGGTCAATATTTTCTTCGTATTTATTAGCTCACCTGTCACAAAGTGACAGTATTAAGTGTGTTGTCAAATATATTTGTGTGATTAATTGGAAAAAAAAGTGCAGTTTTGCCTTAAATACTGTTTTTTAATTCATTTTAAACTTAATGAAACACCATATCCTGCAATTCATTTTGAAATACTGGACCAATACAGTTATGTCGGGCATTAATTGCAGACAGGAGAAAAATATTAGAAAATTACTGCATAAAAATCACTCTTATTCAATAATAAAATATCATTTGCCAGATGCCAATCATTGTGTTTCATTTTTTAGGGATTAACGCTTTCATTGAACAGAAGGGCATTTTAAAATGACTTGCCAATTATGTGAATACTCACCTGGCATTAAATGATTAAATAAAAATAAGCAAATTGTGTGTTGCCTGTCAAGCTGCAGACATGGCACTAACAAGATTTCAATAGAGCTTACAGTTTCACATGTACATATATACATCAATGTACAGTTTATGTTTACAAAATCAAAACAGGCCGAGTGTTCACAAAAATTTAAGGATCAGGATCAAATTAAAAACTAATATTCTTCATTGTTTATCCTCATAGATTATATATCTAATATTAATTTGATGAATTTAGGTTTGCGATGGCAAGTTTATGAAATTTTAGATAAATTTATTGTTATTTTTGTAAGATAAGGGAATTTTAGTAAATTTACAGTTGATCCAAATATTGATCCTGATCCTAAAATTGATTCTTATTTTGAAGTTAAAAGCTTGAACAGGACCTAAATGTGTTAGTCATAAATTCTATAAACTTATTTGTCAGACATAGAACAGAGCAAATGTCACAAAAACTTTTACTATTTATGCCAACAAATCTCAGTACATGTAATTCACTAAAAATGTATCAGTTATTTGGTATAAGATTTGAGTAGGAACATTGGATTTACATCTTTTGTCCCTGATTTGAACAACAAATTATAGATTTTAAGTCATTTTGATCAAAGTATATTGCCCTTAATTTTTATACCTAGGGTATCAAAACTTTGATAACAAGCTTGTTATTCATATTATATTACTTGCATTAAAATTGCTTATTCATAAATAAGCATTGTATATATCAGTGTATGAAGTTCAGTCAAAGAAAGATATTTTATTTAAAACATTTCTTTTTTTCTTTTATGAAATTTTTCCCAATCCGTAATTGCATGTCCGAATAAGTTACATCCGAAATCAGATCTATTTTCGACAACACATGAATGTATTTTAGTACACATTATCAGTGTAAATGACAACTATCAACAATTGATTTTACGATTTATAGCAAACAAATCATGTGTTTTAAAGTTTAAACCCGTGAATAGTGTCCAGTTTTAGCAAGTATTTTCATTGCAATATTGCAGTAGGCTGGAAAAATCGGCAATGGAGTTGGACTTCCGGTTTCACTTTATGCAAGTTTAATTAAGATTTATTTGCTAATAAAAGTCTGTTTTCAGATTTATTCCAACCATTTATTGTGTTTCTACTGAAAAATTAATAATTATCACGGAGCATCAGTATTTGACAGTCAAATTATGTTCTCAGTTTTTGGTATTAATTAATTGAAAATTTTACAAATATCAGCCGGCCAAAAAGTGTTTTTAAACGGTCATTTCGGCCGGCGGCCGGCTCTTATTGAGAACCCTGTATGTGTATAGTAAAAACTTAAAAAATCTTCTTTTAAAAAAACCCAATGAATGAGCTAGAGCTTAGATGTTTAGCATGAAACATCTTCTTATGGGTGTCTACCAAGTTTGTTCAAATAAAAGCCCTTGGGTTAAAATTAACTCTGCTGGTGGAGAGGGGGGGGGGGGGGGAGAAGGTCATTGTTTTTCCTTATATGTGTATAGCAAAAACTTAACATCATGAAACATCTTCTAATGGGTGTCTTAATTCCAAGTTTGTTCAAATAAAAGCCCTGGGGGTTTAAACTGGCCCCGCTTCGGGGGCCTATATACAGGTGAGCGACCTCAGGGCCATCATGGCCCTCTTGTTCACTTTCATGTGAGAAAGCGTCTGTGGTCGAGTGTTTAAGATTGCCGACTTTGAACCACTTGCCCTTCTCAGCTAAGCATTCTTATTGCTTCAAGAACTTTGACTTTTTCACTTTCATGTGAGAAAGCTAACGCTCTTGCTTTTAAAAGGGTGTTGGCTCTTTTCAGGTGCCTGCTGTTTGCTAAAATAATGCTTAGAGGGGCACCTGATGTTTTCCTTCACCAGTAAAGCTGGAAAGTTTTCAGTATCGGTACTACTTTAAATCTAACGAAATAAAGAAATTAATTTATTTGGATACAATTTTGTAATTTAAAAGGTGTTTTAGTCATGTAGGCAGTTTGCCTTAATATTGATGGTAATTTCGTACTTTATTTTTTCATTTTTTTATTATAGGTGAAAAATGAGCTGGATAAACTGTTTGAAAACATTGAGGAGGGAGACAAAACAAGTCTGGCTGATCCTGCCCAGGTATTTGTATATTCTAAATATTTTAATGTACATTGCCCGCTTAATTTTTGGGTAATGAGAATGTAGTAATACCCTGTGAGTGGAGTAGGAGATTAATGGAGGAATGAAATATACATAATGTATAATTAGAGGTATGTATGTACAGTAAAACTTGTCATATGTGACTTTCCATTGGACCATATCAAAAAGGTCACATATGACAGGGAGTTTTAATCCAGGTTCCCAAAAAAAATCATCAGTTGTTTCAAAATGCTATTTTTACTTGTTTGTCTTTTCTTTGATTGTGTTTTCATTGTGTTACATATATGTAATATTTTAATATGGTTTGTTGAAGATATAAGATAATTATGCCCCCACTTCAAAGAAGAGGGGGTATATTGCTTTGCATTTGTCGGTCCGTCGGTCCATAGACCAAATGGTTTCCGAGTGATAACTAATGAACCCTTAGGCCTAGGAACTTCAAACTTGGTATGGTGATTGGTCATGACCAGTAGATGACCCCTATTGATTTTGGGGTCAAAGGTCAAGGTCACATTGACCTTTTAAGTAAAAACGGTTTCCGATCAATAACCAAAGAACGCTTAGGCCTAGGAACTTCAAACTTGGTATGGTGATTGGTCATGACCAGCAGATGACCCCTATTGATTTTAGGGTCAAGGGGTCAAAGGTCAAGGTCACATTGACCTTGTAGGTAAAAACGGTTTCCAATCAATAACTAAAGAACGCTTAGGCCTAGGAACTTCAAACTTGGTATGGTGATTGGTCATTGGAGCATATAGTCGTCGGGTTGTCCGTCGTCCGTCCTTCCGTCCGTCCGTACGTACGTCCCGAATTCGTGTCCGGCCCATAACTTTGTTATTTGAAGTCGGATTTTAAAACTATTTCACAGAAATGATCACCATATTGAGACGACGTGTCGCGCGCAACATTTGGGTCGCTACCTTGAAGGTCAAGGTCACAGCATGACCTTGCAGCAAAATCGTGTCCGGCCCATAACTTCGTTATTTGAAGTTGGATTTTACAACTATTTCACAGAAATGATCACCATATTGAGACGACGTGTCGCGCGCAACATTTGGGTGGCTACCTTGAAGGTCAAGGTCACAGCATGACCTTGCAGCAAAATCGTGTCCGGCCCATAACTTCGTTATTTGAAGTTGGATTTTACAACTATTTCACAGAAATGATCACCATATTGAGACAATGTGTCATGCACAACATTTGGGTTGTTTTTACACTTTGAACTTTGTCTGTGACATAAGTCTGACACTACAAGAGGTATACCTTCCTGTGTCCAAAACCTATTCGGGGAGCATCATCCGGTTCAGCCGGCTCTTGTTTTGATATTGAATTTTCATAAGCTTCTAACTTACTGTCAATTCAAAGCATTTTACAAGTTTGGCGAGTTCAGCATAAAAGTGGTTATTGTTGGATCTTTTTACAGGCTATAGCCACACCCTTGTATCCCCACCAGAAGCAGGCATTAAACTGGATGGTAAAGAGAGAGAATAACGCCACCTTGCCGCCATTCTGGCAAGAGAAAAATGGGAAATACTTCAATACTGTGCTTAATTTTACCAGCAGCATAAGGCCGGATAGTGTAAGAGGAGGTAGGTATAGTATGCTAGTAGTGCACATGCAATCTTAAAAGCATATTATGCCTCAGAAGTGAATAAGCTTTTCTTTCTTTAGAAATGGCAAATATGAGTTTTATAATGTTTCAATAATGGTTTAAGAGCATCTTATATGCTTTTTCACCTAAAGAAAGAAGTGCTGAATATAACATAATTTGTCATTAAAGTGACAAAATGTATTTTGACTTCCATATGAAATACTAAATCAATAAAACTATTATTTGCTAAAAAGCAGCAGAAGCAAAAGATAGTTTAGGTAATTGGCCAGTTAGTAATTTTTTGGAAACAACAGGACACCAAAAATGTTTTGAGAAATTAAGTTTGACATAAAAGCATTTTTGAGACATAATGGGCCTTTAATCATTTCATTGTTTATATATAGGTGAAATGTAGCTGTTAAAAACCTGAGTCAATTTGAGTTGTTTGTGAAACATTTTCTTGTGCCGATGACAATATTTTTTGTTCTGGTCAACTTTTACCTTCCTTGAATATATTAAAAGAACTTTACTATAGTTCTACTTTAAGAGTATGTCTTTCAAATAACATAAGTACTTTAATTATGGCGGCAATTGTTTGCCTATGATATCTATCTTTCAAGTTTTTAGCTCACCTGACCGCGAAGTGGTCAAGGTGAGGTATAGAGATGGGGCTATGTCCGGCGTCGTTCGTCGTCAACAATTGGGTTGTTAGCAGTCACAGTTTTGATTGGATCATTGTCAAACTTTGTCAGAATGTTTGTCTCAATGAAATACAGATCGAGTTCGAAGATGGGTCATCTCCGGTCAAAAACTAGGTCACAGGAGCTAAAAATAGAAAAAGCTTGTTAACTCTCTAGTGGCTGCAGTTTTGATCCAAATATTCTGAAAATTTGTCAGGAAGGTTGTTTTGATGATTTCTAGGTCAAGTTCGAAGATGGGTCATCTGCGGTCAAAAACTAGGTCACAGGAGCTAAAAATAGAAAAAGCTTGTTAACACTCTACTGGCTGCAGTTTTGAACCAAATATTCAGGAAATTTGTCAGAAAGGTTGTTTTGATGATTTCTAGGTCAAGTTTGAATATGGGTCGTCTCCAGTCAAAAATTTGGTCGCATTGCCCAAATATGGAAAACCTTTTTAACACACGAGAGGTCACTTTTTTGACTCAATTTTCATCAAACTTGGCCAGGATGCTTGTCTAAGACATTGCTTGGATGCGGTTGATGGGTCAGGGGAGCGATCCAGGGCCATCATGGCCCTCTTGTTAGCTCACCTGTCACAAAGTGACAGGGTGAGCTTTTGTGATCGCTGTCCGTCCGGCGTCCGTCCGTAAACTTTTACTTTAAATGACATCTCCTCATAAACCACTAAGCCAATTTCATCCAAACTTCACAGGAATGTTCCTTTGGTGGTCACCTTTAAAAATTGTTCAAAGAATTTTATTCCATGCAGAACTCTGGTTGCCATGGCAACCGAAAGAAAAAACTCTAAATATCTTCTTTTAAAAAACCATAAGAGCTAGAGCTTAGATATTTGGCATGAAACATCTTCTAGTGAGTGTTTACCAAGTTTGTTCAAATAAAAGCCCTGGGGTCAAAATTGGCCCCGCCCCGGGGGGTCATTGATTTTCCCTATATGCATATAGTAAACACTTAAAAAATCTTCTTTTAAAGAACCATGAGAGCTAGAGCTTAGATATTTGGCAAGAAACATGTTCTAATAAGTGTCTACCAAGTTTGTTCAAATAAAAGCCCTGGGGTCAAAATTGGCCCCGCCCCAGGGGGTCATTGATTTTCCCTATATGCATCTAGTAAAAACTTAAAAAATCTTCTTTTAAAGAACCCAAAGAGCTAAAGCTAAGATATTTAGCATGAAACATGTTCTAATAGGTGTCTACCAAGTTTGTTCAAATAAAAGCCCTGGGGTCAAAATTGGCACCGCCCCGGGGTCATTGATTTTCCTTATATGTGTATAGCAAAAACTTAAAAAATCTTCTTTGAAAAAACCCAAATAGCTAGAGTTAAGATATTAAGCATGAAACATCTTTTAGTGAGTGTCTACAAAGTTTGTTCAAATAAAAGACCTGGGGTCAAAATTTTTTTCCCTATATGCATATAGTAAACACTTAAAAAATCTTCTTTTAAAGAACCATGAGAGCTAGAGCTTAGATATTTGGCAAGAAACATGTTCTAATAAGTGTCTACCAAGTTTGTTCAAATAAAAGCCCTGGGGTCAAAATTGGCCCCGCCCCAGGGGGTCATTGATTTTCCCTATATGCATCTAGTAAAAACTTAAAAAATCTTCTTTTAAAGAACCAAAAGAGCTAAAGCTAAGATATTTAGCATGAAACATGTTCTAATAGGTGTCTACCAAGTTTGTTCAAATAAAAGCCCTGGGGTCAAAATTGGCACCGCCCCGGGGTCATTGATTTTCCTTATATGTGTATAGCAAAAACTTAAAAAATCTTCTTTGAAAAAACCCAAATAGCTAGAGTTAAGATATTAAGCATGAAACATCTTTTAGTGAGTGTCTACAAAGTTTGTTCAAATAAAAGACCTGGGGTCAAAATTGGCCCCGCCCCGGGGGTCATTGATTTTCTTTATATGTGTATAGCAAAAACTTAAAATCTTCTTTGAAAAAAACCCAAATAGCTAGAGTTTAGATATTAAGCATGAAACATCTTCTAGTAAGTGTCTACAAAGTTTGTTCAAATAAAAGCCCTGGGGTCAAAACTGGCCCGGCCCCAGGGGTGTCATTGTTTTTAACTATATGTGTATAGTAAAAACTTTAAAAAAATCTTCTTTTAAAAAGCCCAATGAGCTAGAGCTTAGATGTTTAGCATGAAACATCTTCTTATGGGTGTCTACCAAGTTTGTGCAAATAAAAGCCCTTGGGTTAAATTGGCCCTGGGGGGGTGGGGGGGGCCTATATACAGGTGAGCGACCTCAGGGCCATGATGGCCCTCTTGTTTTTATAGGAATTATAGTACAATAGAAACATGGTTGATTAAAATTCAATGAAAGTCAACAAGTTCTTGCCTGATAAATTTTGTAAATTATTCATAATACAGGTATTCTAGCAGATGACATGGGACTCGGTAAAACTCTAGAGATGATTACATTAATTATAACAAACTTTGTAGACAACAAACCATTGGCCACACCTGTTGATGGTCTTGTGAGACAATCCAAATCTGAGAAAATGGCAGGCAAAAAGTCAAAGGTTCGCATAGATTTTTTTCTACCCTTTAATGATTTAACTGAAGTTACTTGATTTTAATTTACTCATAGTTTTTTTTAATAGCTTGTTTATTTCAAAGAAAATGATGAGTTATTCTGATTGCTGTATTGTCTTTGTCAGTGTTGCTGTGCAAAAATATTTATGTAGCCTAATCATTCAAACATTTTAATAGGTATCAACAAGAAACTTGGAATACTTGATTATCCTGACAAGGTGCAGTTGTTAGACAAGGGCATACTTCTAAAAGTTATATTTTTTTAGTTAAGTTGGTTTTTATCATAGAATGTTCATGCCTTTTAAGTTGAATGATTTCAAAACTATGAAAAATATCAACACAAAACTTGGCACACTTGATTATAATGGCAATAGGCAGTATATTGCAAAGGCCATACTTATTTGATATTTGATAGTCTTTGCCATTAACAGACGAGTGTTAACACCTCATCTTGTTAGATCAGTGAGTCAAAGGTCATGTCATCTTCACATCTCTACTTTGCCTAAATGCAGTCTTAATATTTGGTAGCATGGTTTGGAAAGTGATTAATGCATGTTTAGTAGCCAATAGGAACACAAATATTCCAAAAACCTCTCTTATATGATTTTGAATTAACACAAAATAACCTTTCATTATTATAGATGCTTCCTACTAGTAGCAGTCTTCATTCTTCTATGAAGAAAACACAAATAAAGCTGGAGAAAAAGAAGTCGCTATCT